GCTATGTGCTAGATGCAATCTGAATAACATGTTTCCTAATTTTAAGAGTCTATGAGAGGGACAGTTGGATAAGTTCTTGACTGTAGGGCCATGTGAGCAACCCTCCAGAATGTTGAAATAGAGAGGGAATTTTAGCATCACAACAAGGGCATCTCAATCAGCTTGGGGAGTCCGGGAAGTTGTCTTGGTGGATGTCACTCTTGAGCAGAGTCGGGAATGACAATTTAGCGTTGGCTGGATGAAGCCTGGATGCGTGAAAGAGCTGGGACAGGTTGGTAGGCAGGGTTGGGGCACATGGGGCCCCGGGTTCAGCAAACTGCAGTCATCGTTCAGGCTTCATTCTGTGCCAGGCTTGTATTACACAGAATAAATCCAACTCACAAGCTCAGCAAACTAAACAACAAGCTAACGACTGTAACAAATAATTAAGTGAATAATGAACGAACTTTGGAGAAAAACAAACGAAAAGAGCCACAGATATGAACTGAGCATTCTTTATGCAGCGAGCATGGTACTAGAAGCTGAGGAGATAATACTGAACACAACGAATATGATCTTTACCCACATGGGCCTCAGTCTAGAGGGAGAAACACATTTTAATAAATCATTGCACGAATAAATATGTAATTATAGGTTGTGGTAAATGCTAACTAGGAAGTAAAGGATTTGAGAAACTGATGATAGAGAAGTTTTACTTAAGTGTAGGCAGAGGTCAAACAAACGTTTTAGAGGAAGGGGTGTTATGCATGAGACTTCAAGGAAGTGATGGAGGCAGCGATGGAAGAGCAAGGGGTAGAACGTTCTAGATCAAGTGAGGGGAGCATATGCGGATCTGAGGTGGAACAAACAGAGCTTGGGAGGAACATAAAGAAACTGACAGTGGAGTAAAGTACACAAGAGAAACAGTGATGTAAGATGAGGCTAGAAAGCAATAGAGGCACAAGACTTTGGGGGCCCAGAAACTGGAGGTTGAGTAAATTGGAACAAAGATGTGAGGAGCCAGCTCTTTTCCTGGTCTGCATCAAAGTGGCGCAGTTCAGGTAGACCTCGGGGGGATTTTTCTTAATACTTTTTTTATGGCAACATTTTTTTAATGTAGTAAGGAAAATGGACGGGTGAAGTAGAAGTGATGAGAATGATCTAAACCAAGAGTGCACATTTAGAGAAGAATATCTCAAAGAAATGGAATCTAGTTCGAAAGGAGGAGGAGGTAAGGTAAGCAAGATAGTCTTGCTTTCAGCATCTTTTTTTCCCCAAATTTCTTCGGCTAATATTATTGACAAGCTTCATGAAGGCACAGCCTTCTTCATCAGTTCATGACTTTGTACCATGCATTTTAGGGAAGAGCCTCCTCATCAGAAAATAACTCTTATTCTTGATACAAAACTGTTTGTATCAGTTTTTCCACACTCAGTACCTTTATGGGTCGTCCTGCTTGCAAGAGAGTTCACCCCGAGAGAGAAGGAACCAGGCAAATGTATTTCCCCAAAGATCCTTGATCATTTGAGGAGATGAGAGTGGGTTTTGAACACTTGCTGTCTTGCATTTGTGTTTCAACCTAACCCCCACAGAGTTCATCTGTGTTTGTAGCTTCTAACTTTGTATTAGCTTCCAAATGGATCTAATAGTATATTAATAAGTTTAAACTTATGGAAACTATTTAACCAATAATTTTAACAAATAATGTATTAAGGCCATCATGTTAACCTTTTAATTTTCATCATGTACAATGTTTTTCAAGTATCAGAATTACTGTGATTTAAAATACATTTATTTTGGGGCACCTGGGTGGCTCTGACTTTAGCTCAGGTTGGGCATCTGACTTTAGCTCAGGTCATGATCTCACGGCTCGTGAGTTTGAGCCCTGCATTGGGCTCTGTGCTGACAGCTAGGAGCCAGGAGCCTGCTTCAGAATCTGTCTTAGTGTCTCTTTCTGCCCCTCCCCTGCTCATGCTCATGCTCTGTCTCTGTCTGTCTCTCTCCAATATAAACAAATGTTAAAAAAGGAAAAAATTAAGAAAATACATTTGATTTTGTCTCAATTAGAATTTATGAAAACATTCTTCTGTTTTAGAATATATATGGCTTTTAACTCTAACAAAATTATGTATCATTCCCATGTTTCTGATACTCTACATGATTTTAGTATTTGAGGAAAACTGAAAGTCTTGAGGAACTTTCTCCATTCCCATTATTTTAGTGAAATTGGGATATAAAATCTTAAATGTGAAGTAAATGCCATTTCTGTAGAAATTTTGTTAAAAATAATATGCTTTAAGGCAAAAAGTGGTTGTGTAAATTAAAAGCAAAATTTAAGAGCTATTTTCTTTTTTTCTTCTTGAAGTAGAAAAATGATAAATAATGTGAAGTTATACTGAGAGATAATAGTATTCAACTATAAGAAATATATATCGTTTTATTATGAATAGAAATTTTGGAAATCAAAGCTAGAGTTTTCTAATTACACACATTTTAGGGGTGGAAAGCATGTTATTTTTAGAAACTGATGCGAATAGCCATATGCCTCAACATCAAGGTCTGTGGTTTACAAATCTAAAAGATTTAAAAGAAATGTGAAGGTTAATACAATAAGAGTGTCCTCCACCATTTGTAAAGATCAGACATGCCTACAGAGAAGAACATTCCCATCTGTACAGATGGAGAAACCTCAGATGTTGCGGCTTAAAATATGTGTATTTTCTGACATTTGGGTAGAATGATACAATTTCTTATGAGTGAACTTGGTTCCTGACATTCACTTAAATGCTAATTTAATTTTGGTACAGGAATAGCGAACTTTCCGAATTTCATGGTTGTTGAGTTATCCTGGGATTCTGATGAGTGATTGGGAATAAAAAGGGCCTTCTTCTGAAGCCTGAGCAGTGATGGAGACATTATTAGATAAATTCCCAGTAGCTACAAAGCTAGGAAGAAAACCTCTTCAGCATAATCCACAGCAAAGCCTGAAACTCTCTTGCTTTAAGGAATTTCCTGGTGGCCTTAGGGAGAATATTAATCGAACTCTTTAGGCTTAACCTCCATAAGAGACTGTTATGCAGCCCTTGTTTCTACTTTAAAGTCAGGAATTTTAAGTAGATTAGAAGGAAGAACAGTGCCGTGCAGCATAAAGTTAACATTATACTGTTAATAACATTCAACTGAATTATTAATTTCCACCAGAAGTTGTTTTTAAAGTAATCAGGATTAACCGTAGGAATAAGGATTGTTTTCCCCTCTTTGCTCTTTTTCCAAAGAATAATTCATTAAGAACACCTTCTAAAAACAAAAAGGGAACATAGCCATAAAAACTTGTTATATTAATGACTGATTGTGTTAGTCTACTGTAGCTGTCTAATTCTTTATCCCGACAGGGAAGGAGAAAAAAAAAAAAATCAAAGGAAATTGTTCCTGTTCAAATTGTTGAGTTTTTTGTCCTCTGGAGAACCGGTGGGTTAGAGAACAATGCTTGGGATGATTACCAAAAGTGGATAGAATCAAAAGGTGCTGGTTCTCTCTCTCTCTCTCTCTCTCTCTCTTTCTCTCTCTCTCTCTCTCTCTCTCTCTCTCTCTCTCTCTCGGCGAAAGAACCATTTGAAATAGCACAGAGGCAACATGGCCTGGGCACAGAAGCAGGGTGGCTGGCAGATGGCACCACAGGCTGGAGAAGCTGCTGGCAGATGGCATGGACTATTTGAGCAACAAAGACACTTTTGGCTACCGATGCTAAGAGTTGGAAAGAAGGAACAAGACAACTTCTCCATGTTGCCAGCTCGTATACAGAAAAGGTTTTGGCAGAATGGAGACTGATAAAAGATATTCGATTGTTAGCTACAAGAAAAGTGAAGAGACGTTATTAAGTTTCATAAAATGTGCTCCCTCTGGTGTGATTTGAACCTAATTTCGTATGGAAGAGCCCTTTAGAGATCATCTAAACCAGCTCTGCTCACTGAATATTTGGGCACACACATTCTGTTTTTATTCCCGAAAAGATACGTCTTCAAAACTTTATATTAGGTGGTAAGATTGTAGTTTCATGTTGTAGGGATTAGGAGTGGTTCTTGATTGTCAATTTAAGGAGCCCTTCAGCCGTGTTTGGATGCTAAAATCGTGTGTGGTGAAGTCATGTTTGGCTGACATGACATATGGGCTTAGAGCTTTACCAGCAAAAGGTGTGCAGAATTGTGTCTCTGAATTACTTTGGGGGTTCTGGTCATTATCACATGTATCACATTTGTTTCCTGGAGCCTCTGAAGCCACCGTAACAAACAGTCATTTAGTTCCTAATGATTTCATTGGGGCTGCTCCAACTTTTCATTTGTAGCTCTTGCACTACTTGCTACCTCGTCTCCCTCTGTACCTATTGTTAGATATTGTGTTTCCAGAATTAATTAACTTAGATAACTTTTACCTAATGCCTTTTATGTGTAAGCAGTACTTTAAACTGAAACATATAACTCTTATTCTAAAATAATTATTTACATATATCAAGAACAGCATTAAAAATACTTAGGAATGTTTAAAATCAAATAAAATTGAAACACATTACCAGAAATAGAAAAGCCAATTCCATATGCATTCCTAATAATTATATCTCCCTAGCTCACTGAAGTTTAAACTGTTAGTCTCTCAATTATTCAGAGAACTGCCAAATTCTAGATGTAATTGAAAATGCCACTGAACTGAGATCAAAAGAGATCAGTAAGATATATTCAAAATGATGTCACCCGAGATGCCTGTGAGCCACCAAAATTGCCATCATAATGATTATTTAACTTTTGAGAAGCCTTCTCTTAGAGATTTTGGATTCTTGCCTTCCCCTGTATTCTGTCAGTCTTTGTGATCTGATTTCTGTCAGAATGCTAGAAGCCCTGATTGGAACAGAAGGCAACATGCCGAAGTAGGAGGGTATGAAGGCACAGAGATAGTTTAGCATGAGGGAGCACCCATAAGAACTACTCAGTAACTGAAGGGTGAAATGATGTCTTCAACAATTCAAGGGAGTGCTTGCTTCCAGCAGCACATATCCTGAAAACTTCGAACGATACAGAGATTAGTGTGGCCCCCGCGCACGGATGACACACAGATTTATGAAGCTTCCAGATTTACAAAAATTTCTTCCAATGGGGAAAACATGTATTTCAATAGACCATAATTAAGACATTTAAAAGAAAATTTTCCAAAATACAGTCAGTTTTTTGGGGGGGGGGGAGCACTTCTGGGCAACAATACGTTTTCTAGAAAATCTTATGATTTATAAATTTTGATTTCATACTTACCTCAAAGAGAGTTAAAGTTATAGCCAGTATTTTTCATAAGTTGGAAATTATGTTTAAAATCTTTGTTTAGGGGTTCCAGGGTGGCTCACTCGGTTGAACATCTTGACTCTTGATTTTGGCTCAGGTCATGATCTTACAGTCATGGAATTGAGCCCTATTGTCAGGCTCTGTGTTGAGTGTGGAGCCTGCTTGAGATTCTCTGTCTCTCCCTCTGCCCTTCCCTCACTTGGGTACATGCTCTCTCTTTCTCTCTCTCTCATAAAAATAAAATAAAATAGAACCTTTGCTTAGAGGACTATGCCTTTCTAGTCTACATATAGTATCTACTCCCAGAGGTATTATTTCTTCCTTGTCTTCCTCATTATGATAATGATAGTGGGAGTGGTGGTACTGTAATGGAAACTGGTGGGTCACACAAGCCAGGCAGCCCTCATTCTACCTTAGTCTTAGGTCGGTCACATTACTTAATCTCCCTAGATCTCTGCTTTTTCACTTATAAAATAAAGGTGTTGGCTTTTAAGGTCCTCTCTTACTTAATCACTCAAGCTTGCCTTGCCACTCCAGGGTCCAACTTATAGAAAAGAGGAAGGATTGGTATTGATTTATCTGGAAGCCACGGAAAAGGAAAGTAAGATCCAGAAAGCATACACTAATAGAGGTTTGATTATCAAGCATTTGGGATCTTATTCCAAATTTACAAGTAGACTCTTGCATTTCAATGTCACTTTCTTTTTCTGTGAAATATGAGAGTTTATTCAGCCAGATGAATCTGTATGGTTTTAACTGTATCAAAGACTGATTTCTAGTTAAATTCATGATTCTTGTTTTTTTTTTTTTTAATTTGTTTTTAACGTTTATTCACTTTTGAGAGAGAGAGAGGCAGAGCGCAAGCAGGGATGGGGCAGAGAGAAAGGGAGACACAGAATCTAAAGCAGGCTCCAGGCTCCAAGCTTGTCAGCACAGAACCCGACGCAGGGTTAGAACTCACAAACTGTGAGATCATGACCTGAGCTCAAGTCGGATCTGAGCCACCCGGGCGCCCCTCATGATTCTTGTTCTTGTCCTTCTGCAAGAGGAAGCTCTCACTGGGACATTCTCATCATTTTTGTACTAGAGTCCCACCTATACGTCATCCCTTTTCCCCATCTATCACTCACTTCCTCTACCAGTGTGATGCATTTTATGGCTTTGCATTCTGGGATGAGAGACATGGAGCCTGCCTTATTCATCCCTGTGTCTCCAACATCTAGCCAAATATTTGTTGACTGAATTAATGTAAACATTTCTAGCCATAACCTGACTCCCAGGACTTCAATTTTCATTTGAGAATCCATCCATCCATCCATCCATGACTTCCTATCACTGGTAAAGATTCTAATCTCTCCTCCCCCATGGCTTGAGACCACTACAACCCCTGCTTTTATAGTCAGGCAGACATCAGGGTGTGGGAGAGCTCCTCACCTGCCTCATTCTCATAGTTAATCATTAAGCATTAGGAATTGGAATTTCAATCTGTTGTCTCATAGAAGCAAGGCTTAAAAGTGCTGTTAGCTTCACTGTTTTCATACTGATACCGTGTGAATTAGACAGAGTTTTTGTTTCCTGGCTAAGGAATCTAACCACTATTTACAACAAAATCTTGTTTCTCTGGGAATATATATTCTGGGTTCCAAGTAACTAGTTGGCAAATGAACTCTTGTAAGGCAACACATTTGTAAGGTGGAGGTGGCCTTTTGGCAGGAGGTATAGAAAGGTACACCCGGATAAGTATGGTGTCGACATACGCGAAATTTGTAGTGCCTCAAAGAGAACTTTTTAGCTTGTGACAGAAGAGCGAATTCCCAAATCAGTCACTGGCTTTTCCCACATGTACAGATTGTCACATTAAGAAAAACCTTTCCAGAACACATCTACTACAGGAGCAAAGTAGAGTTGAGTTTTGTAAAAATCGGATTTGAATGAGGGCTTCATTATTACAAACTTTGCCAATCCTCACTGTTTACAGTTCAAAAGAAATTTTAAGTGGATTATTTTCATTTAAGCTGTCATCTGTGGTTTGATTTTCCATGGGGCGCTTTTTTCATTTTGATAGTGCTTCACTGGGGAAATCTTTTGATAGCAAATAGACTGCTTCCTGCTCTATTTTTGTACCTCAGCTTTTCTGTATCTGGAAGTCACAATCATCTGTTCCCTGGATTACTATAGTGTGTTCCAAAGTCACCCTTGTGTGTCCATCCTTAAGGTCTACCCCCAGTTTTAAATGTAAACTCTCAGACAAGGGACATTGTCTGATTTGCTTATTACCACATCCCTGGTGCTTAGAACAGTCTATGGCACATAGTAGACACCCAAGTATATAGGTGAGTGAATTAAGTGGGTGCTTTGTATATTGATATAGATCAATATTTCTCATTCTTGACACGGTTGATGTCTTGGGCCAGATAGTGCTTCATGTTGGAGGAGCTGGCCTGTGAATCATATGATGTTTGGCAGATTCCTGGGATCTACCCACTAGATGCCAGTAGCACTTTCTTAATATGTTAATAATAATAATAATAATAATAATAATAATAATAATAATAATAAAAGTGTTAGCAGAAATTGCCACTGATTGAGAAATGCTGATATTGGCAGAAGACTAAATCCTAATATTAGTAAGTTAGAGTAGTGAGAGTCAAAAAGATACAGGGAATCTAGTTCCACCATTATAAGCAGTGTGACCCCACACTCTTGCAGCTTAATCTTTGAACCTTGGTTATGGTGACAATTAAATGGCTGTGGCTCTCTTGATGAGCGAGAAGCCCTTGCTTTCTAGACAGATCCTGCTTGTGGCCAGAGATAACCTTTCTGTCGACCATGTCCCCTACTCATTGCCATCATGTACCTTTAGGGAGGGCTCGTACCAGTTCATTCACGATGTCCTGTGTAGCACAGAGGTTCTTCCAGATGCCCAATATTTTGAGGAGTTTGCTATGTGATTTTATTTTGCTCTTAATTGATGTGCCATTACTTCTAGCCAGGGGAGAAAGAATGACTGTCGAGATGTCAGCATGATGGGAGTGCTGGCCATTAGATAGTTCCAGGGAATCCCACCAGTTTATTTCTGCCATTGTTTTAGCTGTAGGACTCTGATTGCTGTAGGTTCTGATTGCTTATTCTCTGTGAGCTTTGGTTATGAGTCATTGTGAGGGTTAAGTGAAACTATGTAAGTGAAACAGTAAGAGCTGGGTACAAAGTTGGTGCTTACAGCTGAGCTCTCTTCTCTTCCCTTTGTTAAATTTCCAAAACCATCTGTGTATGTGTATACATATTCATATAAATCATCATCCATGCATAAATATATGGATAGTCATTCAATAATTAATACATACATTCCAAACACATTTATTGATCACCTATTTAGTAGGCCCTGGCCCTATTCTAGATGCCAGAAATGGAGCAATGAAAAAAAGAATAGAATCAACAGCAATTATTAATAGTATAGTGGTTAGACTATGTTCTCTACTGAGTTGTATATAGGTTAAAAAAATTGAAAATCGCTTTATGAAGAGTCATTTCAAGAGTGTGGTCACTTAAAGTATCATTTCATAAAAAAGTTTGCCCTCATCAAAACAATGTTGCCCCACGATGTGTAAAGCACCCGTTTGTTTTTCAGAAACAACATATGTGAAATATTGAAAGCCTGAACCTTTGACCTAACTGATTTTGAATTTTTAACCCTGACAAATCAGAGTAATTTAAGCATTAAAAAGCAACTTTTCGATTTGATCCTCCTTTCTGGTTTATTATACTTCTGCACATCCGGAACACTCAAATTAGTGTCTGAGGTCTGCAATGGTGATGAAGTACATTTCTGTATTATCTAGAAATATTTGTGTATCTTCCTAAGAATATCTGGATTGCATTGAATTTCCTCTCAGGGAGATGGGTGAAAATAACTTTTTGCAAAACATGACTGCATCATCCCTAAGCACCATTACAACATGCTTAATGGGCTGTAATAGTATTTTTATTATCTTATAACTTTGGCTCCCTTAACGTGTTTGAAGGTCTTTAAAATGCACCTTTGAGCATTGTTCCATGTGCTTTGTGTCCCCTGAATAAATATTATACCCCTGTTGACTTTTTAATTTTGAAATTTGATAACAGTAATGAAAGAGAAATCCCTGACCATTTTACATGTTTGCCACTTCATTTCACATAGCTTCTTTCAGTTTCCAGGGATATATTTAGCAGATATTTGTCTGTTAGGAGTGGGTGTTATTTGGTTGTTAGGGGGAAAAAAAGAAAAGAAAATCCCACCACTGCTTTATTGATATTTAATGGTATATGAGGCAAGCTGGAAGCGTTTGAGATGTTGAAACTGACCGATGTAGACACTATATCAAACACAAATGAGAGAAGGGGCATCTTGGACTGGCAAGGTGTGCATGTAGAATGTGTCATGTGGAGATGGAATTGGGCTGGAAGGAATGAGCTCTCACGGAGAGAAACATTGGAAGTGGTGTTTTGGTTAAAGCATGAACATTGTGAAAACTATCACGCATTGCCCCCATCTCGAGTGGTGATAGGCTTATATGAACGACTTCACTTGGGTCCCTACGCAGGTGAATTACTTGGCCCAACTGGGCTCTACAAATGTCAAGGTACTGTGCTTAACTATCAGTCAGTCTGGCATATTTTGTTGGGAAAAGTTTAAATCATACTATATATATAAGTAATATTATTTCTTGAGAATTTACAGCGAGCCAAAATAGTGCTCAGTGCTTTAAGAGCTTTATATCATTTAACCTTAACGATAATTTTACTAGGTTAATATTAGTGTCATTAT